GGGTACAGCTTGCGCAAGCCCACGCAAGACCCCGGGTGGGTGTGCATCCGTTTCGGAAGGTTCAGCGTGTACCGTTTGGCCACAACCTTAAACGGTCCTATAAACTGTGGACGAAGCTTCGTCCTGAAAACAGCAGAGGCTGCCTGTGTAGCCAGGTTTTTTAATTTAATAAATCCAGGTTGCCGACCTTAACGCTTTCCACTTTGCCTCGTCCTTTTTCATGTGCATATTCTTTCTGCAGGTCTTGGCTTTCAGCCATCGCATCGCGAACGTGTCGTAGGACACTCAATTTGGTAGACAAGAAGTGATCGACTTCTTTACTGATGGTGAGGGGGCTACCATCAGCTAGCTGTTCGGCTAATCCTCCCCCACCAAGCCCTGAGCCATGCGATGGCGGCGTCAGCTGAACGCGAGGGTAAATCAGCCCGTTCACGTAGAACGGCGTGTGGCCGGTAGACGAATGCACTGCATTGTTCAGTGCAAAGCCTAAGAGTTGGTAACACGGCGCTCCAGTACCTCGGCGTCTCAGCGCAAATGCTGCGAAGAACGTCGTCGATGACGCGATCACCCTTTCGGTTTGACCATCAGTCTGCGGATGATCCGCTGACGACATATTTACTTGGTGACGAGCACCTTAAAGATAGTCGACAAAACTTTTTCCGTGAAACGGGGGTCTCTATCAGAGACAATCGACTCTGGGAGTTCGTGTTGACGGAAAACACGATCCGCGAACAGGGTTGCTGTACTGACCCCGTCGATGGTGTCTGGCGCCACCGCCAAATGATCCATCTTGCTCAACCAGTCGACGAATTCCACGACACCCGTGTTGCCCGCCGAATCTTTCAGCAGGCCAGACACAAAGTCCAAACTCATGGACTGCCAGGACCTAGTGAGTACCGGTAAGCTGACCAGCGGCGTGGCCGCATTTGGAGAGGGTTTTACCCGTTGACACGCCTCACACGTGCGCACATTGGTGCTCGTCCAATTGTACAACTTGGGCCACCAATAGTGGTGACTCACAGAGTTGTAGGTTTTCTCACGACCAAGATGACCACTGAGTGGCGTGTCGTGAGCCTCATAAAGGATACGGTATTCCAAATCCTTATCAGGAGGAACTACAATTCGTGGTGTATCCGATGAATCGGTGCTATAATATAGCAGGCCGTTATTCAACGAATATCGGTGCAATCGTGCACGCAGTCCTTGTGACAATTTATTGTCCGAGTCTTTAAACTCCTTGTCCCCTAGAGCCCGTAGCAACACTACACACATCTCATCACCCGTATACGCGGTGTAGATCAAATCTGTCACAGACGACGTTACAGTTGTAACATGAGCAAGCTCATAGTCTGGTCTGCGTGACAACACGTCAGCCATAGTATTCTGCTTTCCCGGCTTATACTTCACCTCCAAGTTTTATTCCGCAAAGAAGGATAGCCATCTGGCCATCCTCTGCGAAAGGTGGGGCGACTGAGTCGCAGTGCGTAATGACGCATGATCTGTGTAGATCACAAACGGCTTGGAGTCGAGCATGTGGACCATGCAGTTGACAAGTGCATAGTTCATCGCAAGTAGCGCCTTGTCATAAAGTACTTCTCCGCAGCTTTGAGCTGTCGAGATTTGAACGCGATCATTCGATTCCGCCCCTCGGCGTCTGCTTGCAGAAGTAAACAGCCGATGGCAAAGTCCAAGCGTCACAGACGACTCCGAAAGGACGATCGGGATCCGGCAGTGCCAGTATTGGTGCATGCAGGAGACTGTCTTTGGCCCCGTCAAAGCCTCTTGATGTTCGGTAATCCACCACCATTTCGCATCCTTTTATGGAGATTGGATAATCGCCGTGCCATATCTGCGTAATTCACGCTGTACTTGTGGAAGTAGTTGGCAAGACCAAACCACTTACGCAAGTCCTTCTGGGTATTTGGACCCGTCCAATCTACAATGGCCTTGACCTTAGCGGGATCCGCTCGAAGGCCACGCTTCCCAATGGAGCACCCTAAAAGGGAATCTCTTCTGGGCCGAAGATACACTTGTCTGCATTGGCGTACTGTTTGTTAGTGCGCATGCACTCGAGCACCGCTCTTAGTATGTCTGTGCATACGCCCTGTGGGGCCTGAACAACTGCGTCACATGACGATTAAATGTTGCTGGTGCATTTGACTACCCTTGGGGCATCACCAGCCACTCCCAGATCATGCAGCTCGAGTGCTTACCGCTGTCAGCGAAATATCACTCGCTCTCATGAGCAATTGGTAATATCCATCTACCAAGTCGAGTGCACTGTACTTCGTACATCCCACCATATTGTTCTGAAGAACATCCTTTCTTGTGTGCCGGAATGGTGGCAGCGTTGAGCTTATTACAAGCATGAACGATATGCCACTGTCGTTCGGCTTCCGAACACAAAATATGGGTGTCTAATGGGGAGATGTTTTCTCACACATCATCCCTGCGTCGTGCTTTTCACGAAAAAAGGTGTCAATGACGTCGCACTGTTCCTTGGGCAGGGGCCATTGGCGTGTTACGCAGTATTTGGTTCCCGGAACCAGGTCAA